TAAGTCAGGCAGTTTTTATTCTAGCGTTAATTTTTTAGTGAAGTCCTACGTCAGTTCAGGCAAAATGTCAGGTCCTTGTTAAATAAAGAATTATTCTTGCTTTCGTGCTGCCAATCATGGATTCAGAACGCGTATGGCTTCCAAGCAGAACATATCCCCGATTTCATGGAATGGCTACCACATAGTATTTCAATAGTAGTAGTATTTCATAGTAATAGTATTTCAATTTTTTATACCGGATTTATTCATCGTAAGTGCACTCCTACTTACTTCTAATTGTACTCTTTAAGCCTGCCCTGGATCCATCGTATCTGTGCACCTGTAGTGCTTCTAGCATTTTATTTTTTTTTAGTGATATTTTGCATATTGCATTGATTTACTAATATTAATTAGGATAAATTAACGTGAGGAGTTGTGTAGCTGCCAAGTCATTCGTCACGCTAATAGTTTTATTTTCTTCAGTACAAATCTTGTTCGTCTGAATAAATTTTTGTTTAGCTTTAATATTCTCTTTTGATGTTTCAGTGCACCGAAAATGACTTGTTGCAAGCGTTTTCGCCCTTCGGCCCGATTCAGGAATATAAACTTCCGCAGAAAGGTACCGTACTGAATTTTCACTACCGGCTTTTTTGAAATTTCTGATAGTTTGTTGTTGTTGCCATCGTCATCTAGGCTCTCAGGGTCAAGGACAGAGTACCCAGGTGAATGATTCAGTCTGACGCTTTGGCATCTTTGAATGATTTAGGCGATGTTTGTTGTTCCTTTAAAGGTCATATTCCTCGTCGTAAGCAAGTCCGCCTGTAGCAGCTGCTTCAGAATGTTATATTGGCCTCTGACGCTTATGCGGTCATTATTTGCTTCCCGGGGAAGATTGGTTTTAGATAAATCTAAATTTTCACTCCGAATAGTTCTGTCAGACCGCGACAAACGCCGTTCCTTGATTTCTACAGCAGCATTCTCAGGCCGGTCATCTTCAAGATCTTTTCATTCTTAGTTCGATGGAACCATCGCACTTTCAGAATGTTCCGTAGGCAGCGCTGCTAAAAGGCGCCCAACATTTTTTTGTAGCAGTTTAAGGGATGGAATTTTCGAGTGTACATTAAGATTGAGACGGCGGTTTTCAGTATGTGATTTTTTTGCTGTCCGGATAGACTTTTCTTCAGAAAGTTGCCTGAGTGCACAGATACCAGCCCTAAGCACCGCTCTACTTTCATATCACAGCTTCCATCTATTGCCACTACAAAGCAGAGGTACTTGAAATTCTCTACCCCATCGATGGTAGTTCCACTCAGTTGAATCGGTGGGTCGTTAGTCGAGTTGGGTGCATATAAGATCTTCGTTTTGGTGGGTTAACTTCTAGGCTTGCCGTCGAGGTCACCGTATACATTTGTCGAGTTAGTGCAAGTAGGTGATTGGCGGAGTCGCTCAGCGGTACAGTGTCATCAGCGTACTCGAAATCTGTTGTGAGTACCGCTGGATGCTTTCGGCTGAGTCTTCCTCTGATCGTAAATCCCTCACTGTTGTTAGGTTCCTCACTCCTCCCCATCACATGATCCACCACTATATCGAATAATAGAGGTGAAAACACCTCTTCTTGGCTTACTCCGCTGTTGTTGATGTCCTGAGACCAGCCCGACAACGACTCTTCTGCTCAGCTGACACCTGACCTTTAGTACCTTCGTACAGCCCTTCCTTTCAGCAGACTGATGATCGTTTGTAGTACTCCATAGGCCGTACTATACGCCACAAGGACTGACGGTGTACCAAGTTGAAAGCTGCTCGGAAGTCGAAGGGTGCTACATGCCAGGGTAGTTAGAAACTAATTTCCTGTTTAATTATCTTCTTTAGTATGGCGATGCTATCCGTACACGAAAGTCTGATTGGAATCTATTCGATCTAAGCGAAGCGAATCGTCATCTGCGTTCTTCAGTTTTCGGAGGAGGATTCGCGCAAATACCCTTTTCAGCACAGACAAAAACGGTGTTCTGCGGTAGTTTGCGCAATCAGAACGATTCCAACTTTTGAATGTGTGAATGATCACAAGTTCTCAGGGATTGCCGATCCGCCAGATACTGTTAGACCAGAGTCCATTTCAGTAAGGTTTTGCCTGGGTACTTGAGGATTTTCGCACTAATTCTGTCGTGCCCGCAGGATTTTTAACTTTGATACAGACGTATGGTGTCTCGGATTTCATCTTTCGGTGGAACAGAGCAGTCAGTTTCCAGTTCTTCTCGGTCTTCGAACTCTATTTCCAGATCATTCACTAGAGCGACCCTGTTTAGGGGTTCTTGGAAGTGTTCAGCCCATCTCCTTCGACCGCTGCAAGGGGCTCGTTGGACTTCCTGCGAATCAGACAAGTTAGGGACTTATGTTTACCGCCATTGATGATGATGTTGACTTCTCTCTACAGCGCCTTCCAGTCATTCAAAGCCGCCTGTTTCAGATTCTGCTTTTCGAGTTCCATACAGCCTCCTTTATCAAAGTAGTAACTCCTGCGGACTGCTTCCACGAGATATCGATACTCTCGCTTATTCATCTCTTCTGGTGTTGGTGAAGAACTCCTGCTTCCCATCATTTCTTCTTTGGCGAAGAGTGAGTTTTTTTATTGACCCGCAGGTGTTTTGTCCTATTCTGTAGGCCGAGTATACTTGCTGCGGCACCAACGTCACCCTGTTTAGTTTTTGTTACAGCTACTCGGAGTCCTAGCAGGTCATGTTCTATACAACAGCGAATCTACTGTTGATCTGGTGTTAGAACACCACGCAAGTTTCTGGATATTTTAACTTGCTAGTGTCGAATCGAGCGTTCGCCTCTTTCAGCGCTATTCTCTGGAACGTAGTTAATTGGAGACGTAGCTTTACGACCAGCATGAAGTGTTTCGATTCAGATTCAGTTCCACGTTTTTTCCGGGTGTCGTGAAAGGCATTTTGCCACTTTCTGCTGACATATATGTGGTTTAGCTGACTCCTGAAGCGGTCACCTGGCGCTTGTCCACGCCAGCTCGTAGATTTGACGATGTGGAAACATCGTACCGCTGACGACGAGGCCGTATGTTCTCTAAGCGTTTTTCCTATGGAAACAGCGGACTGATCTTCTACACCTTAGAGGACAATACAAACATGAAAATATCGTTGAGATCGACGTTTCCTGACATGATATATCTGGGTTACTCTGCTGTTTTAACTGCATGCCTTTGGTTACCGTAGTAAATAGCAGTAACTTCTGTTGAATTTGTAACATTCCAGATGGAAGGATTGTGACCTTTGCATTGAAGTGCTGTTGCAGTAAAGCTAAAATAACCTATTTACGTGAGTCCCCACTTCATTTTCTCTTTCTACCGAAGTATACGAAATAGTGTCAGATATTAAATCATAATGTAATATACAAAAGATTGCTGCCACTTTTGAAGCTTTTGCTGTATAACGATCTGCACGTCGGATTACTAGAATAAATGAAGAAAAATGGCGCGATGGACTCACGAAACCTGATGAGATTGGGCAGAGTTGGCCTAATTATGTGGCATGTATCTTTTCAAATAAACAAGGGAGATAGTACATAATTCTTCCAAATTTTGTAAGGGTCTGAACGTTGTCTTGAATGTATCGTCAGGTTGGAGATGTAAAAAAGTCTTTGCAGTGTTGTTTCATATTGCGTTGCGTTGATTAATTCTGTCTGTGTTATCACTGAGTTTTTTAGATGGGCACTGCAGTGGCTTCGCCTTCGTTCAGTACAGGCGGTTCCCGGATGCATACAAAGCCTTAAAGTCTATGAACGCTACGACTCTACTAAGTGAGTACTATCCAATGTTATTTCTTCAGCACATATTCTTCCTTCTCTTTTTACTTTTCTTTTATGACATTGGCGTGTCTTACTCGTCCTTTCTTTTCTTTCCTTATTCATCGTCCCTTAAGTTATTGAACCCAGTTTTTTTCGTTCGTATCTTCACAATCTCGTATCAAACTTATCTGCATGTTTAACGACCTTTGATAAGCTGATTCATCTAAACGTCTCCGTGATAGAATTTGAGTGGTTAAGTATCTTTGATATATCACCTGTTCATTCAACATCGTTATCATCCATTTAAAATGCTGACGTGTTTATCAATGGTGAATGAGAAAACGATGTTGGTCCACTTCTTTCGAGTGACTGTTTTTCGTCAGTGCCCCTCATTGAAATTCTTCTCATTCGGATCAGTTTGTCATAGAAGCAATGGCGAAGATTGTGCACGTAGAACATATTTGCATAATGGTTCTTCCTACTTTTTGGAATGATTATCTAAGTCAGTTCGGTCTTTAACTCTAATAAACTCTTGAAATCAAGTGGTTTGTTTCATATTCATGCAGATATTTGAGGAGAGTCACGTATGGCTTCAATTACATTTTCTCTTTGATGATTTCTTTTCATAGTTTCATATTTTGGTGAAATAAAATTAACCTTGGCTTTGAACAACGTATGGTTTGATCATGCTAAACATTATCTTGTTGCTGTTGTGTATTTGTATATTTTATTTTTGTTGTTTAGATAGAACGATCGCCCTTGACTGGGCAGTACCTAAAGACCAGTACATGACGAGCGTAATGGAAAGTAATTTGGTTATTTATCTCCCTTAACTATGAATGTATGTCTATATGTCTGTACGCATGTGTGTTAAGTTGTGATATAAGCGAATTTTCAAAGATAAAGTGACTTGTAGGTAGCTGCCGTAGACTAAGCACTGTTATAGCAGTATAAGAATTGCTGTATATTATCGCCTTTGCGTTTTCTAATAACTTTTCATAATACCTTTTGTATTTACTTCTGGACACGCATTTTTCGAGGTGAATCACTTTACAAATACACCATACCATAATTCTGTAAGGAATTAGCGTGGTGTCAACGTTTAACCTGACTCAGATTTTTTCTTCAAAGAATTCTTTCAGCATTTTCTTTTCTCTGACTTTTGGAGTTGCTCTGCATTTTGGTCCGTATTTAAACCAAATCACATCACAAAAGAAGCACCTTCAACGGATACCTAAAAGGTATGTGAAAGACAGATTGAAACGTCGCCCCTCCCCCATTGTCCCTGGTAGCCGTTTGCTTTACAGTGTATTTATAATCTTTTCATTGAAATGTAGGCAAGTGACTGTTTTCTTGCCGTTTTTCTGGTTAATCTGCAGTTTGTTTATGAAAAAATGTATCTTAGGTAAAGCTAAAGAGAAAATTGCAGACTCTGCAACTGATAATAACGTTGTTGTCGAAAAACCTGAAAAACGACTCGACCGTGGCAAAAAATCCAAGGATGCTCAGCAAGTAAGGTATTTAATTCTTTGAGGTTTAAACCTGCTTCACATATGGTTTTTGGGTGACTATAAAAGTGGAAAAAACGACACTCGATGCGAAAAAAAAACGTATGAATTCTACGGTACAGTTCTCGTTGATTGGGAAGTAATGTGTAGTTTTTTAATTAACTGTTTTACAGACTGAGTATGTGGCCAAAAAGGCAGGTAACGCTGACGATGAAACTTTAAGCCAACGAAAACGTAGGACTATGAAAAACAACAGCTTTCCTCAACAAAGTCAGCATGCATCTGACATGACCCGTGATTTCGATCAGCTGTCTTCTTCCAGCGAAGGTTCTGTGTCTCAAACGAAGCCGCCCGAAGTTCCTCGACGAACAGGTGATGATCCTGGCATCAGGGAAGGTCGAACATTGTTCGTCAGGTAACCACCGAAAATGAGATACTTCGAAAGCGAGTTTCCCTTACAGCTGTGTCCTTGTTATCGTTTCTTAGTGTTGAAAATGTTCATTTGTTATTTCTTCGTTCCTTCCTACCATCCTTTCACCTT